GAGAGAGAGAGAGAACTCAGTTTTAGAAAGTTCTCTTGTGGAGAAAGAGAGACCGCTCAAAGTCACCAGTAACTTGCCATACCCTGTGGTTTAGCAATCTGATCATGCGATTGAAATTGCAATCCATAGTAGATATTGGAGGTCCATGCATGAAGGTGTGGCATAAAGAGAGAGAGAGAGAGAGAGAGAGAGAGATTATTGGGAGAGGAAAAGAAATGTTTCTTGTGATATTAAGAAAGGACCGTGAATGGATTGATTATGTCTCACTGAAGTGTTTGTGTCAAAAGAGGACAGTGCTCAATGTTTCCACCCAAGTTCTCTGAATTGAAAGGGAGACAAATCAAAAGCAGAAATAACAATTCCTACCCTCTTTCGTGTGTTCTTATCAATAAATGGGTAGATAATTTTCCACGCAGTCAAGAAGATGTAAGGCACATGGATCAGGAAGACCTTGCGGAGCCGCTCTGGGTAACAATCCTGCAAGTTTTAGCATAAAAACATCCTTCATTAACCATCTTCACCAATGGTCTTCAGTTTTATTCTGATGCAACAACATAACATTCCAGGATTCTTCTGCTCATTGAAATTTGCAACTCAATAAATGTGTGTGTGAGAGAGAGAGAGAAATTTGCAACTCAATAAATGTGTATGTGAGAGAGAGAGAGAGCGGAAACAAGGACGTTGAACATGTGAGAACCAAAAAACGATTATTTGACTACCACATTTCCCATAAAGAAATAGAAGAGTAGGACTCTGAAAAAGGAAGAACCGTTTGACCTAGTCAACCAGAAGTAGAAAGAAAATAATCCCTCCACATTAGTAAACAAGAATTTTTGGTTCTTATTACAATTTTGGATATTACTACCAAACTACTTGGGGTAAGCTGAACATCTAATGTAGATTTCAAGAAGGATAAGAAACAAATGATCAGAACTGGAATAATTATGATGGACTCTTAAATGGGCAGATGTTCAATTCTCATGAGTCCCATTAATATGTTTTCTCCAGTTCCTTTTTCTTTTGTTGGTAAAACTAAAACAGGGCTGCACAACAAATCTAACATAACCAGATGATGCAAGATGTTCCAGTTAGACAAAAGTCAGTTTAAATAATCCCTGTTCAGAAGTATCACCCGAGGTTGAACCACTGAGGGCCACTTTCAAAAAACTCCATTCATCTTTCAACATAACCATCAGCATACCCTACACCCAAATTCAGAGAAAGTATTTTCAATTTCTCCCCCAATTCCTCAATTGTCAGAAACAGGGACAATAGAAGGATGACAGGTGAATAGGAGCTAAGAGCAATCTGAAAGCATCAAACTCCAACTAGTGTAGGTTATTTAGCTTATACTCAAAAGTCATTGGATAGTATAAACCAAATGGAAACATAACAAGCCACCATGACAGAGAGACTTGGAGTTTTCATTAGAGTAAAAGAGTATTCGAATTCGTTGTCGAGATAAACACATGGCCAAGTAGCAAATCCCATCAGCATCAACACCAAGGCTGATAAAAAGTTCAGATGAGTTTGCAAATGAAATGGGCAATGAACTACTTTCCTTTAATTAAACTGATATAGCCACGAGAAGTATGAAACAACAGAGATCACAATGAAAACAGAACAAACCTGCATTATATTGAGGGCTGCAACATATGCACGGATATCAAAATTTGCATAGCCCCATCCTTTGAGGTCTTCAATAATGACAAACTTTTCCTGACCTTCAGGAATGCTGCACAGAAGAAAAGAGAGTAAATGAAAGAGAACAAGCAAAACAGAACACATCGTCAATATTTAGAAGTACATGTTGTACCTGGCACATAACTTGTCGAGAGAATAAACTACAAATTCTGTAGTGAGAACAGGGAGCAAGGTCAGATACTAAAACAAGTGTAATCAATTTGGAGTCTGTAGAACAGTCAGAAAATCACCCCAGCAGCTAAAATAAAAACATTTTTGTATGTGAAATTATAAATAGCCTAAATCATTGAAATGTTCCACTTTTTATCCTTGTGAGAAATAAATTATAATCCAGCGAGCCATGAATTACAAAAAACAGTACAAGAAGATAAAAAATGATTGCATCTGCAGTTTGATATTTGAAATAAATTCCAGCATATTCAAACAGTACAAGAAGATTAAAAACGATTGCGTCTTTCAATAGAAGCTTTCTTTTGAGTACGAGCCTTTCTATGTCATGCGAACAAAGCAAATCTTCATTACTAGGAGCAAATTGGATATAGATAAATCAAAAAATAAAAAAACAAACTTTTACGTAAATATTCAAAACCAACTTTGCAAAAACACTACTTACTCTTCAACTCATCGAGATCTCTCTGACAACATTTGTGTTTACTGGGAAATATGACTCCTATGGGGCATCCTTTCTTGTCCCTCCCTTGCATATAAAGCTTTTCTTGTGCAAGTTCATTCTGGATATCTGCCTCAGAGATGTAACCATTAGGTGTCATTGCACGCCTCCATTTTAAGTATTTTAGGAACATCATAGATGCCTTTTTGACATCTAAATCACGAGCACGCAGAAATCTTCTAAGCATAAGATTGTCAACATCCTGCAAGAATATGCTAGTTTAGAGTATAGTTAACAAGTCTCTGATTAAAACATGATTTTCTCAGATTTTTTGAAATCCGTTAGAAACTCCAATTTTTTCAAATGATCTTAAAAGATCGTGTTGCTTTTAATGAAACCGATATAAATTCGTACTTTGTATTTTTCCAAAAAAAAAAACATTTCAAAAAGTCTTCTTCCATATAACTTTATTGAAACTGTTGTTCACTTCGTTGATTTAGTAACTCCGAGTTATGATTTGGAGATAAACACATTAAAAGTTAGACTAAATTAAGACTATTGATTTAACAAATATTTCCAACAAAACTTTCTTAAAAAGAGTATATTAAAAAAAAAACACCAGCGATATATTCCCAAAAAAATAATCTATCAACCATCTGTCTTAAAATATAGGTAAAGTTGGAGAAAAGTAAACCAACGAAAAATCTTAACTCGAAGAAAAATCTTCTTCTTCTCTCAAGCTAGAGAGGAAGGCCAGCCCGACGAGTCAGTGCTTAATTTAGGACGAGCTCGAGGGCTCAAGCGAGCGGGTTGCTCATTAGAGAAGGAAAAGCTGGATGCTAAGGGCCAGACAGTCTTAGCAAGTACATTGTTTTTTAGCTTGGTAGCCTAACTTATGAGATACAAAGAGCAAGAGAGACTAGTGACAACTAAAAATTTAGGCAGCTAGGAATTCAGGGTGAGATTCAAATATTTACATTTGTTTAAGTATTTTATTGCTTTCTTTCTACATATAGAAGTTAGATTAATTTCACCATTTCAATCTTTTTTATTATGGACCCGGTTTCTATGCGGCCAAGCCCGCAATGTATAAATGTGGGCATCTTAATAAATTTATTTTTGAGATGGATTTTAGGACTTAATTGTTTAAGGACATGTAATCTCTAACATGGAGATCATAAATATGGAAAAATAAATAAATTTTAAAAACTGGAAATAACAATTGTAGTAAGAAAACATTTGGACCATTAGTTTCCATTGTTTTTTGATGGAACACCTACTTGAATCCATCTTTAAGATGGATATTTTACACGTTATGGACCACATATGTAGAAATATGGTCCAGCCCACATGTAACAATTTTCCTTTTATTATTTCAATGATGTAAAACAAAGCATTTTCAATTGACCAGTATTTTACATTTTTGGGTCTTTGTATTTTAGTTAACTGCAACACTATATTTAGGGTCATTTGTGTTTTTTTCTTCTAACAACAATCCCATATATTGGGTTACAATTCTTGTTATTTGCTAACGTAGTTATTGTGTTTAGTATTGTTGTTTCATTATATCCTTCCAACAAGTCTATTATATGTTTTGCGTCGTCACAATAGAGTAGGCATTCTTGTTGCATTTATTGAAAAATTAGACAAAAATTTGTTAGGTATTACCTTAATAATACTAGGTAAGGAGATAAAATTACTGTTCAATAGCTTTTACTGTATCCACCGAATATCTGCAAATCACAATCTTATCTTATGTCATCTTTACATGTCCGATTTTCACTCCGTCTTTTTTAAACGAATCTGAAATATTCACAATATTTAAACTTAATTAATTTTTGGCGATTCGTATTTTTGACTCAATATTTGTCTCCGACTTTATGGAACAAAATTGATTTATTACCGATATTTTGATTTGCCAATATTAGGGGTGGCAATTGGGATGGGTTGACAGGTCAGGTATGGGACCATGTTATGGACCCAACAAGTCGGGTTTACGCCGCGTTCGACCCGACCGAACCCTATATACTAAAATATTTTTTATTTTTTATTTTTAATTTCTAGACCGGTCCGGATCAGGTCTGGTTCTAAATGACTTAGACCTGATCGGGTCCAGGTCCAAGTCGTTTGGATCGAAGTGGGTCCAGTATAACCTAGTCGGGTTGGGTTAGGGTGGGGACCGACCCGTTAAGTCCCCTAGCCTACATATTGTTATTCGACGACTTGCTCACTACCAGCGTTGTCAGATTCGCTTCGCTTTGACCGAAGAGGCCAAAGTCTTTGAATTTTGTGCCTGCACTAAAGCAAAGCAAACTGTAGCTTAGGGCCGATTTGGCCAAAGCTTCGGCTGAAGCAAAAAAATATCTATATAAAAATAATTTTTTTTATTTTTTATTTTTTTGAATTTTTTATGTTTTCATTATTTTTAGGGAAAATTACAAAAAAAAAACCCAAAAGGAGAATTTTTAAACTTTTCTAGCAAATACCCCCAAGTCAAAAAAAGTCATATTTTTTTGACGAAAATACCCATAGTGCTTGACCGCATGCCCAGAGTGCCGGACCACCCCTATTTTCTGTCAGACCGCATGCTTCCAGAAGCCCAAAGTGCCGGACTGCCCCCATTTGAGCCGGATCGCATGCCCAAAGTGCCAGACCGCCCCTATTTTGTGCCAGACCGCATGCTTTCCAGAAACAAAGTGCCGGACCACCCCCATTTTGTGTCGGACTGCATGCCAAAAGTGCTAAACCGCCCCTATTTGCGCCGACCTGCATGCTTTCCAGAAGCAAATTGCTTTGCCGGCCCCCATTTTGTGCATCTTTTTTATAACTTGAGGGGTATTTGCTAGGAAAGTTAAATTTAGGGTAAAAAGTGACAAAAAATTTGGTTGGGGGTAAGTTGCATAGGAAGTCTATTCTCGGGGGTTATTTATAATTTCCCTTATTGTTATCAATAAATATTTATTTATATTAAATTCAAAAATGTCCAAAGTCTTCTCCCAAATTTGTTGAAGCACCTAATTGCTTTGTTTTTCTCTCCAAACTGAAGAAGGCTCCTAAGTGAATCTGCCAACAATGATCACTATGGTTTGGAGAAAGGAAAAAAAATGCAATATGGAAGAGAGACAATGGGCTTCATTTCTTATTGGGTTTTCCTTGTTTTTGTATTCATTCTGCAATCGAATGGAAGATATTAATGAGAGAAAGGGATAAAACAATTGCATACTCCAATCAAATAAAAAGTTAGAAACAAATCTATCCAATCTTTGGATCAAAGAACAACAGAAGGGAAGAATTTGATGACACACAAAAAAGAAAACCAAAAGACATACAAGAATTTGACGATTCTTCTAATGCATATAAGCAGTTAATTAGAATCTAATGCATATAAATTTTACAGAGTGTCATTGCATGAGAATTGCCGAGTGTTCTTCAATAGTGGCCCAAATGCATAAATTCCAGCATTTGGAACAAGAATTTACACTGTAATTTTTTCAACACTCAATCTAATAAAAAGCAAAGGGGAGAGAGAGAGAGAGAGAGAGAGAGAGAGAGAGAGAGAGAGAGAGAGAGAGAGAGAGAGAGAGAGAGAGAG